CATGGCTTAATGTTTCCTAGGGGGCAACGTGGCCCCTGCTTGAGAATCACAACTACCAGCACCAGTGTAGACGTTACTTTTTTCAGGGAATCTTTCTGTGTCCTTTACTAGTGTCTACCCCTCCCTTTCCACTCCCCATCCCTGCCCCCATCCCTGAAGGCCTCTGTATAGTTTCTTGCCTGTGCCTGTCACCTTACTGTATGAACTTCTTAGGGGTCTGGCTGCATCTGTCTTGCTCACCCCCAACATCCAGACCAGCCTAGTACTCCTGGGTGGGTGCTCAATAACTATTTGATGACTTGCTCAGTAACAGAAGTTACAGTCCTGACCACATGTCTAAGGAGCCCTTCCCGTGAATCCATCCTGTGGATCCACAGGAGAAAGGCCTGGCAATCTGCTCCCATAAAGGTTACAGCCTAGAATACTCTATGGAGCAGTTCTACTCTGTCACATGGTGGGGTTGTGAGTCCAAATCAACTTGATGGGACACAACACCATCATCAGCCACCACGTATCCATGAAGATTGAAATGAGACTAACATGGGGCATTTAAGGTGTGAAAGCTTTAGGTCAGACAATCCTGGCCCGGATGGTAAGGTTTTTGGAGAAGAACCAATTCATTGCCCTTTCTAGCATTAGATCATGGGATGATGCTGACACCAACCCATGTGGAGGGGTTGGTGGTGGAAGCCCCCTGGGAGGAGAATGCCCTCCTCACTGGTCCCACTGTGGAGCCCATCTGTGGTCCCACTGCCATCTTCACCTGGCCTCAGCATCTGGTACAGATGTGCTGAAGAGCAGAAGGGCTCCTCTAAAACCTACTCCACCTGGTCCCCAAATCTATCAAGTGACCCTTGGATGGGAGGACCTTGGAGGTCCTTCCACTGTAGATTCAGATTCTAAGGCCTATGATGGAAAATTCCTGGATCTTCTACTCTCAACAGTCTTCTAGGAGGATCTTCCTACTACTGTGACTTTATTGTTTTTATTAGCTCCAACACTTGACTCCGGCTCATGGTGGACTCATGGACAGGAGAAAGAAATGTTACCCAGCTTGGCGTCATCCTCTGATATGTTCACGTCCATCGTTGTGGCCATTGTGCTGGTCTATCTCACTGAGGGTCTCTCTCACCCTCCTAGGGCCTCTACTACACCAAACACGATGTCCTCCTCCAGTGACTGATCCCTCCTGATGATGTGTCTGAAGCAAGTGATTTCGACAATTCCATTCTCAGCCATGAGGGTTTCCTTGGCTAATTTTCAGAACTAGATCACCAGGCCTTTCTTCCTAGTCTGTCTTAGTCTGGACGCTCCACTGAAACCTGACCACCAAGGTAACTCTGCTGCTATTTGAAATACCACAGGCATAGCTTCTAGCATCACAGAAACATACAAGCTACCACAGTCCAATAAACTGACAGATGGGTGGTGGGTTGTTACTTTACCTGATCCTTTTTCAGCCAAAATGTTATTTTTTACCAGACAGTTTGATCATCATGTAATAATCCCTAATTTATTGACAAACAGAAGCCATATACCTAGAGGGCCTTCCCATTGTTTTTGCATCTTTTTTCCATCTTGTGCATCGTGGCCAGCAGGGCATGGATTTGGGTTCATATTCTGGCTTTGAAGCATCATGGCTGACAAGTTGTCTTTATTTCATTTATTACACTAATTAATTGTGCTATTTGACTCTTATTTATTAGGCACCTACTATGGGCCTGGCACTTGGTATGTTGGAGGTACAGTAGTGAATCAAACAGAAAGTCACAACAACAACCTTTCTGTTGTCGTGGAGGTGACATTCTAGGTGTGGGGGGTTGAAATACTTGAACAAATACAATGATATGCAATCTGTCAAAGGGTGGTGAATGCTATGGAGAGAGGAAAGCAAGATAAGAAGAGTGACAGGGATGCTAGCTTAGATCAAGAATGTTCCAGAGGAGGAGGTCATCTGTGAGCAGAGACTTGAAGGAAGTGAGGTGATGAGCTGTGGGAGTAGAGCATCCCAGGGACTATGATGCATGCAGGTCATGCAAAGGCCCTGCGATGTGACCTTGAGTTTGCATCCCCCTAGGTTTAAGGCAACCTATCATATATTTTTTTTTGTGTGAAAATATACACAACAAAACATACACCACTTCAACAATTTCTACAAGTACAATTCAGTGACATTCGTTACATTTTTCAGTTGGTGTCACCTTTCTCGACAATGTTTTCCAAATTGTTTCTCCATCACAAATACAAACTCACTGCCCCCCTAAGCTTCTAATCTAACCTTTTGAGTTGCTGTTGTCAATTTGATCACATATAGATAATTCTTCAGAAGACTGTGTTTAATGCAGACATTATTTTCTAATTATTCCATTTATTCTAATTATTCTAAAACTATTATTTGGTTCAACAATGACATCAGGTGATAGTTTCAGTTCAAGAGCTCTAGTGGTGGTGCCTAAGGCATTTGACTGCTAACTAGAAGGCTGGTGGTTCAAAACCACTAACCACTCCTCGAAAGGAACACTGGGCAATCTACTTCCATAGATATACCGCCTTAGAAACCCAAGGAGAGGCTGCTATGAGTAGAAATCAACTCAACAGCAGTGAGTTTGTTTTATTTGTTTTTCTGGAGTAATAGTTTCAGGGAGTCATCTGGCCTCCATAGCTCCAGAAGCCTGGATTCCATGAAAATTTGAAATTCTGTTCCTCATTTTCCCCCTTTTGACCAAGGATATTGATCTAAAAAAATCCTTGATCTAAATGTTCAGTATTGGTAGCCAGGCACCACCCAGTTCTTTGGTCTCATGGCAAAGAAGGAGTTTGTTCGTGGAGGTGATTGGACATCTATTTCCTTCCCTCCAATTCCTGACCCTCCTCCTTCCTCCTGTGCTCCCAGCAAATGGAATTCAACTGGGCAACACATCATTTTACAGAGGAGGAACCTGAAGTGCAGAGAGACTAGGTGATGGGCCCAGAGCTGCACAGGGATTAGAGGCGGAGTGTGGTGGAGAGGAGCCAGGGGTCCTTTCTCCCAGCTGATGTTCGTATCTGGGGTTTCTGAGGTGAATGGGAGAAATTCTGACCCCTGCAATGGCTCTCTTCCTTATGCTACAGCCAGTGGCCTGGCTTTGGGGAAAGATTTCTGCTTTAACTGCACGAGGCTCCCAGACTGGCTGCCCCATCGTGTGCTTAGTGATGGAAATAAAACTCAATTCGGTGTCAAGCTGAAGGTTAATTGAATATTTGATGCCTACAGGGAATGAAAACAGGGTTCCCATTTTCCTGTTTCATCATCCAGGCCTATGACACTGAGGGAAGACGTGGGCCAGTCTTGTTTAAGCAAAGCCACCCATCTGGTAGGTTTCTTGTGAGGAGATGGGAGGGGACTGTGGACAAGTCTTTGTGTCATGGGACTAGAGGGGACTGATCCTTTGCAAGAGGAGCCAAGAACTCGGGAGTCTGTTTCACCTTCTTCCAGTTACAGACTGAGCTGGTTTCCCTCAGTACCCTCTAAGGTGGTGGCTCTCATAAACCAGGGCCATGCATTTATAGGCATTAGGAGGGTGGCAAAGAGGCTCTAAAGGAGCTCTGGTGGCACAGTGCCTAAGGCATTTGACTGTTAACTAGAAGGTTGGTGGTTCAAACCCACCAGCCACTCCATGGAAGGAAGATGGAGCGATCTACTTCCACAAAGATTTACCACCTTGGAAACCCAATGAAGGTTGCTATGAGTCGCAATCAACTGGATGGCAGTGGGTTTGGTTTTGGGTTTAAATGGTCCCTGGGTGGCACAAACTGTTAAGCAGTTGGCTACTAACTGAAACTTTGGGAGTTCAAACCCACCCAACACACCCTGAGATGCCATGGAAGAAAGCTCTGGCATCTTCTCCCAAAAGGCTACAGCCTTGAAAGCCCTATGGAGTACAGCTCTACTCCACAACACATGGGGTCACCATGGGTCCAAGTCAACTTGACAGCCATTGGTTTGAGAGCAATGGGGAGCCACAGTAGGCTTCCTAGATTAAGCAGTTTCAGAATTGAGTTTTCTATCTGAAGCTTTGGCTAAGATGGTGCCAGACTCTCCTGGTCCTTTCTCTCTGGAACCCCTACCCAACCAGTATGCTCCAGTTACACTCAACTTCCTATACATACTAACTGAGCCACTCTGGAGTGGCCTCCCCATCTCAGCTTCCTCATCTGCACAGTGGGGATAATTACCTTACAAGGGGTTGTTATTTGTGCCAGTTACCCAAGATGCAATGCTTTGAGCAACCCCTGTTGCATCTGACCCTGACAGAGCAGGTCTGAATAGAGCATCTAACAGTCACCCCCCACTGAGTATGAGAAACAGTCACACAAGCCAGACAAGTCCATGCATTAAAGCATGTCTTCATTTTGCAATCATTTCCTGAGAGCATACTACGTGTCAGATTCTGTGTTCGACCCTGGAAGCAGGATCTAGTTGAGGGAGAGAGGCAGAGAAATATACTACAGCAGTCCATTGAGTATGGGATAATAGCTTCCTCTTCTCCTTGGCCACGCTGGCCATTCAGTCCATTGACACTGATGTATTCACCCTTTCCACAGACCCTTTGCATATGCTGTTCCTTTTGGACGCATTCATTCTAACTCACCCTTCAGCTCTTATCTCTAGCATTAGATTTCCAAGAAAGACTTTTCTAATCTTCTTTACGTCAGATTCCCCATAGAGAATCTGACAGCCCTAGGGAAGACTTCTTTCCTTGCATCACTTATAAAGTTAGAGTATTGCAATTATTTGTACATTTCCTCATTTAATATGTTATTAAATGGAGTATCTTATTAGACTGAATTTATTGAGCATAGAAATTGTGTGTGTGTGTGTATGTGTTTTCTTTTCCTCTTGGTGCAAAGCAGATGCTTATTTAATATTGGTTGAAAGAACAAACAAGGAGTTTCTTTCCCCATCTGGCTGGCTGCTCAAACCTTCAGGCCCCCAGAGCTCATCCATCATGGACACTCACAGTTGGATATCCAAGAAGATCCTCTTTTCCTCCCCGACGTGGATCTTCCAGACACAGTCTTCACCTTCCACATAGGGCTCTGGCCAGTTGGGGGACAGCACCACTCCGGCCACAGCAGAGAGCTCCCCACCACACATGGCTGTAAGGGACACAGACAGACTTTATTCATGAGGAAGCCAATATGGCACAGATGTTGAGAGTGTGTGAAGCCAGACATGGCTCGCTGTGCTCTGTGGACAGGTGCCTTCATCTCAGGAAGTCAATACGTGTGTGGAATGATTCAGTGAGTGTTGGCCACCTGCCTCCTCTTTCAGCTCATGGTTGGCTAAGTCTGGGCTCAGAGTAGGAGCTCTGGTGGTGCAGTGGGTAAGGCATTTGGCTACAAACCAGAAGGTCAGCAGTTCAAACCCACCAGCTTCTCCATGGGAGGAAGATGAGGCAATCTACTTCTGTAAAGATTTGTAGCCTTGGAAACCCAATAGGGGTCATTATGAGTCAGAATTGACTTGATGGCAGTGGGTTTGGGTTTTTGGTTTGGGTTCAGAGTGCCATAGTTCTTTGAAGACTGGGAATGGAACCTGAGGAGTGTGATGACTTCTCCGCTGCTGTGCTCCTTAGAAAAGATCTCTGGAGGCACAGTGGTTAAAGCATTTGGTTGCTAACCAGAAGGTTGGAGGTTCAAACCCACCAGACACTCTGTGGAAGATGAGGCAATCTACTTCTGTAAGAAGATTTATAGCCTTGGAAACCATATGGATCACTATAAGTCAGAACCAACTTGATGGCCATGGGTGCTCCTTGGGCTGGGTGAGTAGAAAGGGGTTAAGAGATTGTTACAGATTGAATTTTGTCTTCCCAAATTATGTGTTGGAAATCCACTGACTGAAAACCCACCAGCCACTCCTAGGAAGGAAGATTGGGCAATCTACTTCTGTAGAGATACTACCTCGGAAGCCCAAGGTGGGGTCACCATGAGTTGAATTGACTCCACGGCAGTGAGGTTTTTTTTTTTTGTTTTTTTTTTTTTGTATACAGACGGATGTAATCCCATATGGGAAGGGGTTGTCTTTGTTATGTTAGTGAGGAAGGATCAGAGGATCAGTGTAGGGTGTGTCTTGAGTCATTCTCTTTTGAGATATAAAAGAGATTAAACAAGCAAGCGATGGGGCATGAGATGCCAAGACACGGAGAGTTCTCTGAGGAACCAGGATGCCGAAACTGAGGAGACAAGGACCTTCCTCCAGAGCCCACAGAGACAGAAAGCTTTCCCACCATGAACTTGAACTTCTGGCTTCCTAAACTAGAGAATAAATTTCTAGTTGTTAAAGCCACCCATTGTAGTTTTTCTATTATAGCAGCATAAGATAACTTAGACAGAGATGGTATACTCAAATCCTGCCTATGTCACCAGGGTCTGTGAGTGCAGACAAGGCACGTGACCCTCAGAGCCTCAGTTCCCTGCTGCTATAAATCCATTGCCGTCAAGTTGATTCTGACTCATAGCAACCCAATAGGACAGAGCAGAACGGCCCCATAGGGTTTCCAAGGCTGCAATCTTTACGGAAGCAGACTGCCTCATCTTTCTCCTGCAGAGCGCTGGTGGGTTCCCATCACAGGCCTTAAGGTAGCAGCCACGTGCTTAACCATGGCACCACCAGGGCTCCTCCTTCCTCTGTAAAGTGGGAGTAAAGCCCCTACTAACTACATTGGGTTCTGTTCAGGTTAACTGAAGCCACTGGCAAGCTTGGTGCACAGTGCCTGGCACATGGCAAGCGCTCAGCACTCTTAGTGAGTATTGTTATGAAAGGCCCAAGCCTGACTGGGAAGCAGAGATGTGGTCACATCTGGCACCTGGCCCTTTAAATTCCACTCTGTATTTACTGCTTTGGGAAGTTCTCAGTGTGGCAGAGGCCAAAGCACCAATAAACTCTGCTCTGTTAACCCAGCACATTTAATACAGGGATCAATCAATCTCTCACGATGAAGAGGCTGTGATTTCAAACCGACCAGTGTCCGGGTGGCAGCTGCCAGGGGTGACAGCTCCCCTTCATCATTCCACATGCAACCTGCCAGGAGATCCAGGCTCACGGTGGCTCGGTGGCCTTGAAACGCGAGGAACTGGGGAAGGTGGAGCCATGAGCCAAATGAATGAGCGTTCTACACAGTCAACACTGTGCAGATGTTCAGAGTGCAGGACATTGGGAAAGACCTGAGTTCTATTCCTGCCTCTGCCAGTTACTCTCACTGTGTGTAGCCTCGGTTTCCTCATCTGTAAAAGGGGTCAATAATAACATCTACCTCACAGAGTTGTGATGAGGATGATATCAGCCAATGTGCTTGGCAGAATGCCTATAACATAGTTACTGCACACCTAATGACAGCTATTAAGGAGCTCTGGTAGTGCAGTGTAAGGCATTTGGCTGCTAACCAGAAGGTCAGTGGTTCTAACCCACCAGCCGCTCTGCAGGAGGAAGATGAGGCAGTCTGCTTCTGTGAAGCAACCTTTTACAGCCTTCAAAACCGTCTGGCAGTTCTCCTATGTCCTACGGTGTTGCCAGGAGTCAGAATCAATCCCCCAACAATGGTTTGGCTTGTTTTTTTGCCAGGTCCTTTCTCTCGTGGAGCCACTGGATGGGTATGAACTGCCATTGTTTCAGTTAGCAGCCAAGTGCTTAACCGTTGTGCCACCAGAGCACACTGTAAGTGTTCAAAGCAGTTCAAACTCACCAGCTGTGGGGATCGATTCAATGGCAGTCGGTAATAACAACCATCATCATCACTGTCATCGTTATTATTACTTATGCTGTGTGTTGTTGGGTGGGTTGTGTGCTTCACAAGGATGCATAGCAGAGGGGGTAACTAGAAGCTGAGGTCCATGCAGTGATCTGCTCATCAAGCTGTGAGCCGTGGGGCATGTGCCTAGAGGAAGGGGAACCATTTAACGTCTATCCATTTTGTAATTTGTCCACGGGCCAGCAGTAGCCTGATCTATGGACAGTAAGCCCTGCAGACAGTTCTTTTCCTCAGCTCAGTGATATAAACTGGTGGCATGCCCCCAAGCTGGAGCCTCAATCTTCTCATCTGATGGATGGGGTTCTCTGGGGACTGCTCACCTCTGCACAGGGGCTCCGTGTCATTCCAGTAAGGGTCCCGGACATTGATACACTCGATGATGGCTGGGCCCTGTTCCAGAGAGTGGCCGGGGTCGCAGGTGAACTCCACTATGGTCCCGATGTTATAGGTTGGGTCGGATGTGGTAAAGTTCCCATTCTGAATGTAGGGCTCGTAACAGTGGCCTTTCTCAAAAGCTGGAGGGTGGGTACAAAAGAGGCAGCAGGTCAGATGAGTCAGGGTATACCCCACAGTGGTGGGGCTCAGAAGAAGACTTGCTGTTTAGGAAGGTCCAAGGAAAAAGACTATCAGACCAGGGGTTCTGGGTTGGGCTCACTGCTGAGGGCCTTTGGCCATTCACTTGGCTTTCTGGGGCCTCATTTTTTCTCCAGTATGGGAATGAGAACCTCTTCCCTCCCATCTGTGCAGAAAATGTTTCGACTCCTCCCCATATCAATCCTACTTTCCCATGTTCCATGCCCTCAGAGTCTTGATGTCTGCCATTTGACACGGTAATTGTCAATGAGAAAGGCCAACTTTTCTTGTGGAAGCCAGAACAGAAAGTCCCCAAGGTATACGACATATCTAGGAGCACCTTTCCTTCAAGGGTCGGGGCTGAGTGGGAGGCTTTGCTCACTTTTCCTGGAGGAAGAGGTGGCTGGACTCTATAAGGCCTCACTGGGTAGCATCACAGAGCCTAAGGGCAGGGACTTGGGCTAAATGGAAATCATAGCTCCATTTTCACCAGCTGGTGGCCTTGGGCATGTCACACAAGTTCTCCAAACCTGTGCTTCCTCATCTAGAAGTGGAGACCATAGCAGCTCTCTCCATGCAGAGTGGTAAGGATTAAGCAGACAATGTATGAAGGCCCCTGGTACATAGTAAATGTTTAATGACAGGTAGGCATTCCTAGTCACAAAGCCAAGTCTGTCTTTGGAAGTCCAAAGATCTGTGTGGCCACTGGCTCTCCCCCCCCTCATTACGTGTCCAGCCCAGTCCTGCCATCCTGCCCTGGATCTCACACCTCCACCTTGGGAAGGGGGGCCCCCAGGAAGCCTCACCCTCGAATCGGATGTTGAAGGCTGAGGCCGCCCGGGCCTGGTCGGATGTGAACTCGATGCGGATAGTGTTGCTGTCACTCAGCAGGCCCTCAAAGGGGACGCTCTCGGTTTGAAGAGAGTCATAGAGAAGAGCTGACTTGTTGGTTCGCCCGCTGTAGACCATCATTCTGGTAGCCGCGGAAAGAAAGGAGGGAAACTAAGAGATGCAGAGCAGCGGGAAGAATGTGGAATGAGCACTGCTTCAGGAGGTTCAAATCCTGACTTTAACCTATGCTTATCTGGACATGTTACTTGACCTTACTCTTTCCTCTTCTGTAGAATGGGATTAAGTATTTGCTCTGGGTTACTCATGGATTTGTTTTGATATTACTGGAAAGTGACCCACTGCCATCAAGTTGATTCCAACTCATGATGACCTTACAGGACAGAGTAGGACTGCCCCATAAGGGTTTCAAGGCTGTTAATCTTTACAGAAGCAGATTTTACTATCATTTAGGAGCTTTAGTGGGGCGGTGATAAAAACATTCAGCTGCTAACCAAAAGGTTGGCAGTTCGAACCCCCTAGCCGCTCCACAAAAGAAAGATGAGGCAGTCTGCTTCTGTAAAGATTAACAGCCTTGAAACCCCTACGGGGCAGTTCTACTCTGTCCTGCAGGGTCATTATAGGTCAGAACTGACTTGATGGCAGTGGATAGTAGCAGTATTACTATATTAACTGAGGAGTAGGGAAAACACACCAACATTCCTTCAGAAACAGTAACATATATAGTCAGACATGCCTGAGTGTGAATGTTGACTTTGGGCAAGAACACTTAACCTCTCTGAACCTTTGTTTCCTCATCTATACAGACAATGGGTACAATCAGAGTTGGATCAGAGTGTGGGAAATAGAATCAGGAACCAAAAGCTTTGACATTATTACTTTTTTTTTAAAATTGTGGTTTGGGTGGAAGTTTACAGAGCAGATTAGTTTTTCGTTCAACAATTTATACACATTTTATGTCATAACATTAGCTGCAGTTCCCTCAATGTAACTGCATTCCTGCTTCCTCCTCGGGTTTCCTGTTTCTGTTCATTCCTCTTTCCTGCCCCTTCCTGCCTTCTGAGCTTTGTTTTTGGGTAAATACTGCCCTTTGGGTCTCATATTGTTGATTGTTCTGAAGAGTGCATTCTTCATGGGTGTTAATGTTTGCTTTATAGGCTTGTCTGTTATTTGGCTCTAAGGTGATCCTAAGGGGTGTGTCAGTTGGAAGGGTGTCTAAGGGCCACAGTCTTGAGGATTCCACCATCTCTAACAGACCAGTAAGTCTGGTCTTTTTTATGATTTTTAATTTTGTTGTACATTTTTCTGTCACTCTTCAGGCTCTTCTGTGTTCTTGGATCAGAGCAGGGACTAGTGGTGGTGGGGTACCATTGAATATGTTAGACAAATGCTAGCTATTCATTTTCTTTATTCATAACCCTATTATTCCATGATGACCACAGGACTGAATTTCATAAATCTACCATGAATGTATAGCTCTTTATCGCAATAATGAGGAACTCTGGTGGCACAATGTTTAAGCACTCAGCTGCTAACCCTAGTTGGCAATTCAAACCCACCCAGTGGGTTTGTGGGAGAAAGACCTGGCCATCTGCTCCCATAAAGATTAGAGGCAAGAAAACCCTATGGGGCAATTCTCCTCTGTCACATAGGGTCACCATGAGTTGGAATAGATGTGAGGGTACCAATCTACAACGACAACAACAATCACGCTGACACTGAATCAAAAACACTTTATCATGCACAAATAATGGGCCTGGGAAATTTCCTGTTAAGTTTTTATCGATTTCACTTTCACGTTATAGAACTTTACACATGAAAACATCAAGACAGTTGGGGAGACAACAATTTTCCAGAGGAAGGGAAATCATTTCTAGCACCTTCTCAGTTGTCTCAAGGTCACAGATCTGATGACTGCAGTTGAAGATCAGGAAGTAAGTTAGAGGAAGGCAGTTGGGTTGTAGGAGCCCTAGTGGAATAACGGTTAAGCACTCAATTACTAATCTAAAGGTTGGCAGTTTGAACCCCCCCCAGTGGCTCCATGGGAGAAAGACCTGGGGATCTGCTCCTATAAAGGTTATGGTCTAAGAAGCCCTAGGGGACAGTCCCCCTGACACATGGGGTCACTATAAGTTATCAATTCCACAGCATCTAACAACAGTTGAGCTGTGGTTATTCACTTTTTTTTTTCTTCCTTGGCTGTAATGGAAGCAGATCAGGTTTTCTTCTGTGACTGCTGGGTGACTTTGAACCACCAACCTTTAGATTGTAGCTGCAAACAGACCATTTGTGCCACTCAGGGACCTTCATGGTTATTCATTTTACTGTTAAGAAAATCCATTCAATACTTGGCTTCTTATCAATCATAGTATTTTAAAAGAAATTTTGCCAAAGTGGGGGAAAAAAAAACCAGTCCACAAACTAGATATTTCTTTTATAGGGTCATAAACAGACCTTCTCCATCCTTTGAGCTTTTTAGTTGGGCTCATAAAAGAGTTTAACAGAAATGCCACAAGTGGATGGCTTCAACAAACAGGAATTTATTACCTTACAGTTCAGGAGGCTAGAAGTTCAAATTCAGAGTGCCAGCTCTAAGGGCTAGGTGAAGACGGCTCCACCTTGGCCTTCAGCTCTGCCTCCCGTCCAGACCCACTAGAGCTGGAGGCTTCTCCTAACTTATGCAGCTGCTGGCTGCTAAGGCTGATGAACCCGAAATCAACAGGTAAAATGGCACAGTCCCAAGATCAGCAGACAACATGGCAGGCCACTAGTTCAAGTCCAGGGACAATCACAAGATCGGCAGGCAACATGGCAGGCCCCTGCGATGAGGATTCAACCAAATGCAGGATTCAGATGTGTCCCAAACTAGAGACCTTCCTCAAAGCTTCCCTATATATACTGGAAGCAGGCCACACCTTGAAGGTAGCTAACCAGCTGCTCACAACAGGTTGTAACAGAGTTGATTACACCACATGCAATCTCA